TTTTTTTTTAAAAAAATTGATTTTATTTGTGTAATTATGTGTTCTATATTGAATTAGCTGCTGATTCATGTGCTTATAGCGTTTTTTTTGTATGTTTTTATGATGTATGTGTATAATTATGTGTTTTATGTTGAAATTGCTGCCGATTCATGTGCTTACGTAACGTTTGTTTGATTTTTAATTTTTTTCCTGATGTATGTGTATAATTAATGTGTTCTATATTGAAATAACTACTGATTCATGTGATTACATCGGTTTTTTTTTATGTATGTGTGAAATTATGGTGTTCTATGTTGAAATAGCTGTTGTGATTTATGTGCTTACGGCGTTTTTTTGAATATGTATTTGGTTTTCTATTTGTTAGGATTCTGCAATGTCGGTGTATTTGGATCAAAATGTGTGAAATTAACGTTTGGTTCTATTGTTGAAATAGCTGTTGATTCATGTGCTTACATCGTTTTTTGAATAGTAGTGTTTTCTATTGTTAGGATCGCACGCATGTCGGTGAATTTTCGAGAAATGTGAAACTATGTGTTCTATGGTTGAAATTAGCTGTTGAAGTCATGTGCTTTACAGCGTTTTTTTATTATTATTATGTATGTGGTTATATGTGTTAGGATTTCTGCCAATGTCGGTGAATTCGGATCAAAACTTCAGAGTTGTTTAGTGTTGATGATCAATCAGGAAATGAAACCCTAATGGAAAATCGAAATAACTCTGGATTTAGTTTGTGAAATCGGTTATGTGATGCTGGGGTTAGGGTTTTTGGAGAAGGTAATGATGTTGTTAAGGGTTTAAGAGTGCAAATGGAAGGTTTAGGTGTGGAGTTGATTGGGTCCATGTGATCTCGAAGGTGAAATGGCCTTTGCAGGGTAAATAGTCGGCTGATGGTGAGCTTGTGGTTGATTTGATGGGATTTTCACAATCTTGCACGAAGGGGGAATGTAGTAGAAGGAGCCGATGACATGCAAGATGTATCAGGTGGGACAAATGGATCTGTTTCCTGATGTAGAAACAGTCAACATTAATGATGGTATAGAATGTGGGCCTGATGCTATCGTTCCAGAAAGACGAGGGGTTAAGCACCGACCATGGAAGAGGAAGGGAAGTTTTACGTGTCGATTGTATGGGTAAGGTGAGGAGTCATCCTTGGTGGCCTGGGCAGATATTGGACCCTTCTGCTGCATCAAACAGCGCAATGAAATACTTTAAAAAGAATTGCTATCTTATAGCTTACTTTGGTGACCAGACATTTGCATGGAATGAAGCATCTAGCATTAAGCCATTTAAGATGTACTTCTCTCGATGGAGAAACAGAGCAACTCAGAACACTTTCTCTGCAGTGAACTGTGCTCTAGATGAAGTCTCTAGACGGGTTAGTTGGGGCTCGCCTGCCCATGTTTGCCGGAGGAAGCCCGAGCAAAAATGGAATCTCAGATTGTTGCAGAGGCTGGTATCCAGGCGGAATCAAACATGAGAATTGGAGGTGACAACTTTTCAGATCAAAACCCCATTTAACCCTGCCGAACTTGTGAGAAACACTCAAGTCAGTAGCAGCAGCTCCACATTCCCGGCTTGACAGATTGTCGTTTGTGTTGGCAAAAGCTCAATTGGCGGCCTTTAATCGCTGGAATGGTTATAATGAGCACCCAGTAATAGAAAGAATTTAGCGGTTTGTTTGAGAATGATAATGATGTTGAACCACTGCTTGGGAAGAGTGATGTGGCGTCGGAGGAAAAATTCTAATGTCCAAGGTACTTCCTCAACAAAGCGTCCTCGTTGCTCGGGGATTGCTGAGCACCTGGTAAAAAAGTAAAAATCAATGTCCGTGTTGGTGTATGGGAGCAGTTCATAAATCAAATGATCAGAAGAATTCTAGAGGAATAGCTGGGCGAGAGAGGAAGTCTGTGTCTTCTGAGAAGAGACATTTAGCATTTGAATATATGCCTAGCAATTCAAAGGCAAAAAGAAGGAAAAAAGAATTGTCACCAAGCAGTGGTAACAAGATGTCTTTACCTCATAAAGCTGCAAGGCGAAATCTCAAGTCTATTGACAGAAACTCCCGAAGAACGAGCGAGCATAATGAGAACTTGAGAAATATTGATTTGGAGATTCAGTTCTTGGTCTCGTGAAATCTGAAGGAGAACAGTTGAGTAAAAGAATTCCCTTCTCCAACAGAAATTGCTCTCAAAGCTCTATTCGGCAGCCAGGGATCCCATGAATGCGAGTCGTATTTTGCTGTCACAAGCTAGTTTGTTCTGTGATTATAGGAATTTAACTTGCTCGGAACTACCGTGTCAGCAGACCTCTCAAAGCCGACAGAAAAGCATATAGGACAAAATTCATCCAACTCAGCATCTGCTGAAACTTTGTCGATAGAAGGTATTGAGGACTCATATTGGACTGATAGGAATTATTGAATGCAACCCCGAAGATCAGGTGTTATTTGAACCAGAGGTCCAAAACGAGGTGGATTTTCCTAATGCTAAATGGGAGACTTCTCCTGGCCTGAGGTCCGATCTTGGACCATAAACAAGAAGTAGGCCCGTTGGTTGAGAATTCAGAAAGAGAAAATCTATCTGATCTTGTGGATGGAAGTTCCGAATACTCCCCAACCACGCTGATTCTTAAGTTTTTCAGATTTAGAATCAGTTCCTCCCATAGCAGATCTAAACATAATATTTAGTCAGTATGGTCCACTTTGTGAATCTGAGACCAAGCTTATTCACAAGAGAAAACAAGTAAAAGTTGTTTTCAAGAGGCGTGCCGATGCTGAAACTGCTTTTAGCAAGTCAGGGAAATTCAGTATTTTTGGGTCCATCACTCATCAGTTACCGCCTACAGTATTTCACCATCACCACGGCAAAGCATCTTGTACCTCAAAACGTAAAAGGAAGTATGCAGCATCAGTAGCAGTGAAGGGCGTTCAAAACTGAAGTAAGATGAATTCTTCATTACTAATTTGCTGGATTTTCCCCGTCGGATTAAATAGTTAACTTGTTAGCTATGTTAATATGAATTTGTTGCACATAGCTGAAAATTAACTGCTTGACTGTTTTTGTCTACTTAGAAATTTTTAGATAGTAGAAAAATAGACTGGGAAATATCCCATTTATTTGTGTTCAACTAAGAATTTTGTGTCTATATATTCGTTTACCCGGAAATATAAAATATTTGGCATCTAGTCATTACAGTATACTTGATGAATTGGTGTTTACAGTTCGAATTTCTTCATATTAATAAAGGTAAGATGCACTTACAATTGATTGTCCTCTGTTGGTTGTTACTTGCTTTTGTAGTAAAGGGTGTGATACTATTGAATTACTTGGTCTTTGCTACTGAAAGATCTAAGTTGCTGGACTCGTTCACTTTGATGTTGCATCTCTGTCAGATTCTTCAAAAATACACTATTTTTGGAGAAGCTGACATGCATCCGTGAGATATGTAATTTTCTTAATGTGGTGTCTTAGAATATGCATATATCTTATCTATGACTTGCTATTATCTCATTTGGCCAGATTATATTTAAGAGATGAGGGAATTTTAATAATTTTCACAAAACTATTAAGTTTCATGTTCATGGGGGGAAATTACAACTAAAAGAAATACATATTGCTTTTCAAAATATCAACTTTAAATTAACTTAATTTCTAATTATGATAAAATTATTAATTTAAAACCAAGCTATTAAGCTTTCTTCTTCACTTCTTTGAATCTTTTCCTTTCAGCCATTAATGGCTTCTTCTTCTCTTCCTTCTTTCTTCTTCCTTATGCTTTCGTTGTTTACCTTCTTCTTCTTTCATGTTCAAAGCTCAAATCTTAAAATCAATATACTGTAAACGTGAATCGGTTTGAAATATTCGGTTTGAGTGAATAATATTTTGAAAGATTTGAAATATTGAGAGGAGATAATATCTAAAATTGGTTTACATTTATTTGCTTGGTTACATATTTACCCAACACATTTGTATATATTTGTTTGCATTGTTATTTACCCAACATATATATATATATATATATATATATATTAATGTTGTTGCAAAAATAAAGCATTTTAACTATCACTTACCTTTAGGGATATGAATCGGTAGTTCGATTTTATGTATTGTCGATTTGATTTATTAGTTTTCAATTTTTAAATATGTTAAATCAATAAACAAACTAATAAGTTATTTTTTATCGATTTTTGGTCTTTAACGATTTGATTTTCGGTTTAACCAATAAGAAATGCTCATAAAACAATATATGACTTCTCCAACTTGGCGCAACATGGCAATATATGTAACTTTACGCCATGCTCATAAAATGAAAATGAAAACAATAGTAACTAACATGAAAATAACTATAGTAAATATAACACAAATAAAAGAATTAGGATAATAATGTGAATTGAAGCTTTAGCCTATACGCAAATGTAGTAACTAGTATCCTATAATTCTTTTTTATATAAACCATTAAAACAATAATTCAATAAGACCAATAAAATATATTGGAAAAACTACAAGATATAGCAAACATCAATATATATTCTCTTATTATATAAGAGGAGTTATAATGGGACATTGTGATGTCCAATCATAAACTCCCTATATAATATATAATATAATAAATCATTTTTTCTATATATAATATATATTTATTTTTCTACTATAAGGGAGTTTATAAAATATATAATAAGATATATAATAAATCATTTACAAATGACTTAAAATATTTCATATTTAAAGGATATATAATAAAATAGGTTCCTCTCAAAATTCTATCCGAGTCACATATATTGGGACAGAAAAATAACATATATCATTTTAAAATTACCAAAAAAGTATTATAATAATAATAATTAACAACTTAAAATATCTTAAAAGACATTTTAAAAGGGTTAATTTTGTAATTGTAATTCTACTATTATATAAGAGGAGTTTATCATGGGACGTTCTATGTGTCCCATCATAAACTCCCTATATAATATATAATATAATAAATCATTTTTTTCTACTATATAATATATATAATATATATTTATTTTTCTACTATATAATAAAAGGAGTTTATATAATATATAATATATCATAATAAAACCCCAGTAGAAATAAAATAATATATATATATATATTATATATTAATATAATAAATCATTTACAACTGACTTAAAATATTTAATATTTAAAAAGATATATAATAAAATAGGTTGAACTCTCAAAATTCTATCCGGGTCACATATATTGGGACAGAAAAAATAACATATATCATTTTAAAATTACCAAAAAAGTATTATAAATAATAATAATTAACAACTTAAAATATCTGAAAGACAATTTTAAAAGGGTTAGATTTGTAAGTTTATTCATATCACATAAATTAGGACAAAGTGACCAGCAATGTAAGTTATTTGAAAGTTACATAAAAATATTATAAATCACAATAATTAATAACTTAGAACATTTTTTTTTAAATGCAAATTTCGATGACTCTTCAAATTTTATTTGTGTGACATAAATTGAGAAACAAAAATAGACATATATTGCGTCCATTTTAATTTATTTGTCTTAATTTTTTTTTTATATTTTAAAAATTGCGTAAAAAAATACTATAAATCATGATAATTGACAACATAAAAAATTTCAAAAATAAATACATATATAAAAATTTGATTAATTCTTGAAATTAATCTATCGTTAAAAATTATGTATAAAATACAATAAATCGTGATTTTGACCACTTAAAATATTTATTAAAAAAACAGAAAAAAATTAATTGACTAATTGTTAAAATTAATCTATCAATGTCACATAAAATGAGACCAAAAGTAGTAATATGTATTGTTTAATGTGAAATTATTGAAAACTACGTAAAATGTATTATAAATGTTAACAATTAACAACATTTGATTGAATCTTGAAATTTTATCAATGCTACATACATTGAGACAAGTGGAGTAATATATATTAAGTATTTAAAAATTACGTACAACCATATTGCTTTCTGTAGGCTTCGAATTATCGTGGTCATTTTTTAGGCTGATACAAGTTTTGTACTTTTTTTTTAAATATTATAAATCGCAATAATTAATAATTTAAAAATATTTTTAAAAATATATTTAAAATTTAGTTGGTTTCGGGAATTTTATTTATACTATATAAAATGGGACAAAGGAGCAACATATATCATTTACAAATGACTTAAAAAGCATTAAAAATTACAATAATTACCAATTTAAAATATTTAAAAGCTATATAATAAATAAGTTCACTCTCAGAATTCTTTCAGGCTCACATATATTAGGACAGAAAAAATAACACATATCATTTTAAAATTACCAAAAAAGTATTATAAATAATAATAATTAACAACTTAAAATATCTGAAAGACATTTTAAAAGAGTTAATTTTGTAATTTTATCCATATCACATAAATTAATGACAAATTGACCAGTAATGTTGGTTATTTGAAAGTTACATCAAAATATTATAAATCACAATAATTAATAACTTAAAACATTTTTTAAAAAAAAATTAAAATTTGGATGACTCTCCAAATTTTATTTGTGTGACATAAATTGAGACAACAAAATAACATATATTGGGTCCATTTAATTTATTTGTCTTATTTTTTTTTGGGTTTTTTATATTTAAAAAAATGCGTAAAAATATTATAAATCATGATAATTGACAACATAAAATATGTTTTGAAAAAAAATACAAAAAATTCCACTCATTCTTTAAGTGAATCTATGTAAAAATACTATAAATCATGATAATTGACAACATAAATAATTTCAAAAATGTTGTATGTGGATAGTCTTATTGTGCCTTGAATAACGTCAAATAAAGTACAAGTTTGTGATAAAAAAACTTATTCCTTTATCCACGCAAACAATCGCTTCAAAATCTCCGTTATTAGCCCCCAAAACATACTATTTATATTATTGGGCCCGTGCCCGTGCATAGCCGGACAACATTACCTAGTTTAAGATAAATAGCTATAATTTACTTATTTTATATTATATGGATATAATTAAATATTAAATAGCAAAGTTAATCAATTACACATGAATAATCATTTCTTTCCAATTTTATATGTATATTAACAAATATTAAATAGCAGAGTAATTAGTACATGCCTAATCAATTATGTAAGGCATGTTTTACGGTGTGGTTTCCATGTTTACCCTTTTCAATGTTTTCTCTTTCCATATTCATATATCATCGACTTTTTTTTTGATTTTTTTTTCAAAAATCCTTCCGATTCACTATCCTTTGCATGATTGCAGGAGTAATTTTGTGATTCATCTTCATTAAGTATATTCTAATTGCATTTTTTCTTTATTTTTAATGAAGATTATATTGGTATATATCTATATGTTTCATCTATTTTCATAGGGTTTCGATTGAAGATTTTTTCCATTACAATGGCGGAAATCAATTTGAGATAAAAAATATTGTGTGTTTGTGCCATTCAATTTCTACAGTTTCAATTAGAATTAACCAAAAGGAACTCCAAAACTTTTTACTCTAATGGCAGATCAGAAGAGGCTAACAAGAGGTATCTCTAATGACAGACCAAACAAAGCACCATATTTTGCGTTGTATTTGTATTCATTGTATTTTGAATCAAAACACTATACTTGTTCTGAATTTGTATTCATATGTATTTTGTATTCAAATATAATTATATATATAGATGTATTAAATACAGAGACAAATGAATTTAAATGTTTGTAATCATATATATATATATATATATTCATAAATGTATTCATTTGTATTTATATTCTAATGTAAGTACTAAATACATTATAAATGAAAGCAAATTAATAGTAGTTATATAATTGTATTTCTCTGTATTTGTATTCAAATATAAGTATCAAACCATTTAAATTAAAGTCGATCGATAGTTATAAATTTAAATTCATTTGTATCTGTATTCAAATACAGATTTCAAATACAATATAAATAAAGTTATTTACATGTTATATTATTGTATTCATGTGTGTTTGTATTCAGGTACAAGTATAGAATACAATATAACAGAAGATTAGTTAATTGTTACATAATTGTATTCATATGTATTTGTATATGTATACTATTTTCATCTACATGTCCGTTATATGTATAATAATAATATTGAGATATAGTTTTTCCAACATACGAGTATTCTCG